AATCACTTTATACTTGATCAAAGAGGCCAGATGTAGAGTATATATACCACTTTTTAGGGATTTTTCGGTGGGTTTTCTTAACTTGGTAGCTTGAACTTTGTTGTGACGATGATACCTCGCTCTAAAGATGACCGTCATATGACGGATGAAAGGTTAGCACCTTTTTACCGAAATCGAACGAGATTGCCTCGGAAACAGCGTCAGCATGAATCTTCCAGTAAAGCCATTCGACAGCTGGTCGAGAGGAAAGCGCCGTCGTCTTCTGGTGGAACCGACCTTCGAATCTCTTCACGCAACACTTACTCTCGAAATGGAAGTAAGCTCAACAATATTATCTTACTTTGTGTTTATAAGTAAGGCTTGAGACTACTTATTAAATCGGTTATATGACATGTATTGAACTTTGCTTGAACCTTGCTGCCGGTGAAGCAAGGACTTTCCGGTTAACTCACGACCCCCTACGAGACCTCGACTGTGACAATCTTTTCTGAGCTCTCTTTCTCTTTTTGTTCTTTCTCTCTCTCTCTCTCTCTGTCTTTCTACTGTTAAGACTTGGAGGGACCGGTTGCAGTTATGCGTTTTCTGTTGCCTGGCGACAGTCGAAAGCCTCGGTACCGGGAAGACGATCCGACGAAGTTGGTGGCCATGAGCTGAGGCGTGTCCGAGAGCAGAGAGGTCTTAGATGACAGACGAGTGTGGCTGTTGGTGTGCGAGGGTGGCTGGAGGACACAAACTCTACATACGCTGAAGGCAGTCGGCGTTGAGGAGGCGTTTGCACTTCTCGTGGCAGCGGACGCCGCACTCGGTGCAGCGCAGGCCCTGACGCGCGACGCCCCAGAGCAGACCCTCGCACTCGTAGCAGTAGGTGGGGCTGGTGGCGTTGAAGACCTGGAAGTTGTGCGGCGTGTTCGTCGAGATGGGATAGACGAGCGCCTGCAAGGCCTTGCGGTACACGAGCTGCTTCTGCAAGCGGGTGGTGGAGGGAAAAGGGAGAAAAAGAGTGGGAGAATAGAGAATGAACGAGGCGGCAAACGGTGCAACTGCCGACGTCCGAAGGTCTTCTTCCAGAAATAGAGGAAGACCTTCCACGTCAGGCGTATTCAGAAATAGCATTTGTCGATCCGATATGGCAACCAGCCAGACCGAACTTGGCCGCTGAACCGTGGCAACCACGAAGGAATGTTGGCTTTCGAGGAATCTCCCGAGTTAGCATTGTTAAGCCTATTTGCAATTCAGGTTGAAGTTTTTGGTAAAAACATTCCTCGATCGAGCCCACCAGAAGACGACCATCAGCGGATTCCTCTTGACCAGCCGTCGATTGGCTTTATGAGAACATTCTTATTGACGCTGTTGCCAAGGTAACTTCCTGCGATTCCAGTGAAAATGTTTCAACCTTTCGTCCGTCGTGCCGTGGACATCATCAGAGCGAGGTAAGATCATCACAACAAAATTCAAGCTAACGAGTCAAGAAAACTCACCGGCAAATCTCTAAAAAGTGGTATGTATCTTCTACTCGTATTTGAGTAGGGTTTCGAGACTACCAGTAAATCAGTGTAATGAGATGTATTCACCCTATTTCGTGTAAGATGATTTGAGTAGGGTTTCGAGACTACCAGTAAATCAGTGTAATGAGATGTATTCACCCTATTTCGTGTAAGGAGATGAAGGACTGGTAGTAGAATTTTCCCACAATGATGTGAGTTTAGCTGACATAGCCTTGCTTTCCCAAAAGTTGTTCTCATCCAGGCACCAGTGGACTGCAGTTTCGACCTTGAATCGGTCTTATCAACACCTCCAGCGGGATTCGAACCGCCACAGTGCAGGACGGTAGCTTGAT